TTTTAGCTTTTCTTGGAAATAGTTTGTTTGGAGACCTTTATATCTTATTTGAGGTTATATTCAATTTCGTTATGGAAGATTTTATTTTGTATTGGAGACTATATTTTGGAGGTTTTATATAGCGTTCCRTTACGTTTTGAAGTAACCTCCCTTCCTTCGGAATGGGAGTGTTACAATGATGAACCGGCAACTCTTTCGTTCATGGAGAAAAGATGATCACCATCCATTCATTAATCCACTGCAATCTGATCATCGAGAAGAAGAAGAACAAAAATGGCAGGAAACTATCGATCCTTCGATGCTTGTTCTTGGCAAAATCATTGGTCGTGGTTCTTTTGGCGTCGTTCATAAGGGATCGTATCAAGGCCAAACTGTAGCAGGTAATGTTCTTCACTGTTCGTGTATGTGTGTGTGTATACATATACATACATATATAGATATATATATATATATATGTGTGTGTGTGTGTGTGTGTGTGAAAAATACTAAAATTAATGAATTAAACAACTGTTCGATCTGTTTGTTCGTCGATTTGAATGTGTTTTTATCAGGGTTTTGATTGGTTTTCTGTTATGATCAGTGAAAGTTCTTGATTTTGGTGATGCGAGGATTACGGAAGCTAAAATGGAATTCGTTAAAATGGATTTTATAAAAGAAGTTAATTTATGGAAAAATCTTCATCATCCGAATATAACGAAGGTATGTTTCTTTTAAATTTAGGGTCATTTTTTTTTTAATTTAATATATCAAAATTTTATATATTTTATACTGATTTTTACCGGTAACATGTCGATCTTATAACTTTAGATGATAGGAGCAACCATGTCCATGACGATCAAGAAACCGAAACTGAAAACAGAAAGCAACTTTTGTATCGTATCTGAATACGTAAAAGGGGGATCGCTTCGATCTTACCTATCGAAGAACCGTAACAAGAAGCTGCCCTTAAAGACTGTTGTTCGATTTGCGCTCGATATTGCTAAAGGGTATGCAATCGAAACCCTAATTCTCAATCTTTAACTTAGAAATTGATTATTCATATGTGAATATGATGTTTATTATTTTGTTTAGGTTGTGTTACCTCCATTCCAAAAAAATTATTCATTGTGATGTGAAGCCAGAAAACATGCTTATCGACGAGCAACATACCATCAAACTTGCTGATTTTGGAGAATCACGTTTCGAATCACTCGAACATTTCTTGATCCAGAGTGGTGAGATTGGGACTCGCAGTTATATGGCTCCAGAGGTATGAATACTGTTCGTCTTAACTAATAAGTCGTAAGTATTACTCGATTACTTAAGATCCCGATATCTAATTAAGATCGTATTCGGGTTTGTAGGTGGTAAGCAGGAAACCGTATGGGTGTAAATGCGACGTGTTTAGCTTCGGGATATGTTTATGGGAGATATATTGTTGCGAATTCGCATATACGTTCGATTTAGACAATATCCCAGCAGATATATACAAGGTGTGTGTTCGTGTATGTATTAGTCATGTTTTGGGTATAAATTGATCTAAACGGGCAAATATGTAACAGATGATAGACATTGGCTCTGATACCATGTAAAAATATATGAAACCCCCATTAAACTACTCTTAAAAGAGCATTTGAGGAGAAAATGATGCTTTAACGTATGTGAGACTCTTAACATGTTTAATTACAGTATTTGAGACCGAGCATACCCGTGACTTGCCCAAGATCATTGGCTCAATTGATGGAGCGATGCTGGGACACAGACCCACGAAAGAGGCCCGCGATGAAAGACGTGGTGGTCGAGTTAGAAGAAATTGGGAAATCCGAAACGATGTCGGAAGATCACGAGGCTCGTTGCAGGTTCTTCGGGTTTTTCGAGCTTGGAAGATAGGGATTGAGCTGTAGAAATTACGTATATACGTAGGATCGAATGTATTTATAGTAACGTTTTTATTACTATATATAGTAGTTGTTGCCAAATGGTTTTTGGAAAAAATCACCCCTTTCCATGTTTCTTCTATGTCCTCCAATTAAATTTTGACACGTCATTTCTCGTTTTTTGTTTCCACTACCATTTAATTTAGGAAAATTTACTTAAATGGCGATTTTCCACAATTAAATCGGTCTCCTAAATATTTATCTTCCGTATTTATTTAACGAGGGGAACAATGACGTTGAATGAAATAAAAGTTAAATGAAAAAAATTGTTCCTTACATGTTTTCTATCTTTTGAAGACAATTCATTACATTTTCATTTGTGACATTGACAACCCTTTCTTTTTAGAAACAAAAGTTACATGCAAAATCATCTCGAATTTTACGTCACAAACTTCAGTGAGAAAAGAGAACATCTTTGAACTGGTTTATAACACGGAAAACCAATGTTAGCTTTAATAATCGATAGACTAAAGCGAACATAAGATGGTTTTCTTGTTTCCACCATCACTCTAGCAAGGTCAAATATATTTTCTGTAACTGTCTGTCAACATGTCTTCATGCAGCAATCTATGTTCAATAATTTCACTGTCTTACTCTATCAATATGTCGTTTTAGAGGCTTAAACCGAGTGAATCCTTTTTTTAACAAGTTGCATTTGAACCAAATCCGTTGTGGTCTTCATTGCTAAACAATATTTTTCCACATGTGTTTTCGTATGGAATATTTTATCCGGCTTCGAATCCAGGCCTTAACCGATCATCGGTCCTTCATGTTTTCTTGATCTGTCGTTGATAGTCCGTCGGTCAAAATTCTTGTAGGTAATGCTATCAGCGACGGATCAACGAGGGAACCTTTCAGCGACGAATCAGCGAGGAGAACTTTTAGTGACAGATTAGCGAGGGAAACTTTCAACGACGGATCAACGAAGATTAGGAGGGACTTTTAGCGACGAATTTTCCCTCGCTAATCCGTCACTAACCCATTTGGATTCGGACCTTAATTGATCAACAATCCTTGGCATACCAGTAGATAATGCTCCAAAAAGTAAAAGTGAAAAACCCAATTTTTTGTATGGTACCAAATTTTTTTCTTTCGAATACCATATCAACCAATTATAATACATATATAAAAAAATTTACTGTGATCCAACAAACTACATATAATTGATACCAGCTTTTTTCGACATTGGTATTAATTTTGTACAAATTTCAAGTTACATATATAAAAACTTGTCCCGTTGTACAAATTTTAAGTGACATTTGATTTTGCAAACAACACGTAATCTTTTAGGATTTTTAATTGCAAAAAATATAATTTGCAAACATTAAAATGATAAAAAAATAAAGTTACAATATTTAATATTCAATACATTAAAATTCAAAAATAAAATATATAATTAAATAGGTTAGTACCATGGTATTACCATGGCACAAAGACTTCTAATATCGTGTACCCATCAAACTTGCATAATGAGTATGATACTATCAACCGAATATAATTGGTATTTAGTTTGGTACAACATTTTTTTTATTAACCTGGATATCCAACCCACTATGCGAACCGACTAATCCCAGAACGACCACCTGCTTTGCAGATAGCCCGGAATCACCGCATTTGAACCTCGGCCACAAAAGGATTTTTATTTCTCCTTGGATTTGAACCTAGGACCTCCTGATACTTTTAACCTTTGGAGCCAAACTCAAACCAATCATGCACCACCCTTGTGGTTGGTTTGGTACAACATTGTAACCTTGAACCAGCAAAAATTGATGGAATGTAGCAGCTAAATCCAACAAAATTCAAGTATCTCAGCTGCTCATTAATCTAGAAATGATTCCATAAAAACAGTATCTAACATGAAACATAATAATATACTATATGATCATCACTCCCTTTGGACTTCCAGAAACAGAACCACCCAATAAATTACAAAAGTTGTTACCACAAGCATGGCCTCAAAACCATATAAAAGACAATGCAGTTTGAAGTAAAACACAAGTTGTAACCTATTCCTATCAGCTACATTCATGATACAGTTGACAACTTGGACCCTTTCGCCTCGTTGCTTCTGGAAAAACTCCGGATTCCCTTTTACAGCTGTTGGGTTTGCAAGCTCTAACGAAGCTTTAGTAAGTAACCGAAACGGTATGATGAAACATTCGCCAAGAACTAGTCCCTGCAACCCATAAATAACTTAAGAGTTAGATTCTTGTTGGTTGTTGATATCATAAAGGTAACATGTAAGTGACAACAGGGTGGATTCAACGTTTTTCTTGCTAGCAAAAGCCAGCAAGTGAAATGAGATGCATATGGGAGATGAAATCGGGACTTTTAGTATAGTCACATGTCTACACAGATGTAATATAGAAAGAAAACTTGCTGCTTTCTACTTATCATGGATAGTTTCTTCAAGAAAAGAAGCAAACAGGTTATTTTCAAAAGTTTAAAGTAACGTACTTGTATATTACCCCTTTCCCTCTAAATCTAACAATCTTAAGCCTCAAAAAAAACTACTTCGACCACAAATCAAAGATAAACTTGCATGTCAATTTCAGTAGATCCCCCCCCCCCCAAAACAGAACACCTGAAGAAGACTTGTTATGAGAATTCTGAGATACATTTTTGACATCAATTCTGATGCACCATCCAACTTTACATAATCTCCTTTTCTATCCTAACTAGTTGCTAGCACATTTTTACATGACTACAGCATTTATAATCAGAGCTCACTAATCCACACACCATCATCATCCACAAACAGCGGACATATGACACCTAGTCCTGTGAGCTATAATCTTCTTTGCTATCCTAACTAGTTGCAACAATTGGATTTTATAGCACATTTTACATGACTACAGCATTTATAATCAGGTCTCACTAATCCACACACTATCATCATCCACAAACAGCGGACATATGACACCTAGTCCTTTGAGCTTTGGAAGGTACTAGATGCCGTAGGGTTAGAAGATAATCATTTAGAACATACCACTAGTCTAATACAAATTAGGCATTTTTACTGATCATACCAATAAGACATAATTAACTGCTCTGCATTACATGTCTTCCACAATGTATTCCATGGCCATAATTGTCTTTGCCAGGACCCAGCACAACACCATAGTAGGTTATTATGGATCCTACGTAGCTTATCATGAATTTATAGTTTAATGCTTCTTCATTTATATTTATCACGCTTTTAAGTACTAGAATTCTATGTCAAACAGTATGATGTAGGCTACTATTAAGTTCAAAGAATAAGGGTTGATCGTGATTGAGTAGGAAAAAGAAGATGAAAGGAATCAAACAAGAAGTTATGTTGCTGTAATGCTGTCCTGTATCTTCAGCTCCAAGACAACTAGCATCTAGAATTTATCATACATACCAAGGAATCACAAGAAAAAGAAGATGCAAGGCTAGTATAAATCAAATTTCCTCGGAGGGGTAGATTGGGTAGTTGAGGTGAGATCCAATGCACATGCAGTTTTTAATCTACTGATATGATCATGGGAGTCCAGGGGGTACACCATGGATCCGCACTCCATGAGAATCCATACACTCATTATCAGTGTATGGATAACTATTTCCAGGGAAAAGGTTTAGGTTGGCCTTAATATTGAACACCTAACAACACATTGATGTTTTGTGGCAAGTGGCAACCAGATAAGATATTGTGGAATCCTCCAATACTTCTATCACATCAAACCAAACACCATAACAGTTAACTTGCAAGATCTATGTTATGGCAACCTTAAAAGTGCTAGCCTCTTCAGGTTTAAATTTGTGGATGTATATTAGAAGCCAATCTTACATTTTAAAAAATGTTAGTCCCAATCCCGTGTGGGGGCAGGGGGGTAGCCTTTATGATCATGTATATGTAAAATTTGAACATTTTATGTTTGTAGTCTAGATACTTATAATTGATGAGACAAAAATGAAGATTCTTACCAGTATTTGATCAAGCCGTCCCATCCACATGTAGCAACTTTACTTTGTTCCAATGGATGCCACTCAGCACCAATGCAAACTCCATCGTGGCACTTGAGAGTTCTGAAGACTTTGCAACTCTTCCAATCCCAAAACCAGCATTTACCTTCACCATCCCCAGACATGACAAAGCGGCCATCTGGTGAGAAATTCACTTGGCAAGCATACCCAGCCACAATATGCCCAGCAAACCTCTTTTTCTTGTTGAGCTGAAATCTCTCCCTAGTGCTATAGATTAGAATCTGATTATCCAAACTCTGTGCTGCCAACCAGTTTCCATTGGGATGAAGTGAAATAGATGGCATAGAGTGCATATGAGGTTCACTTATATACTTTATAACAACAGGAATACCAAATTCCCATACACGAAGAGATTTATCATCACTAGAAGTGACAAATCTTCTGTTATTATCAACAAATGTTATTGTATTCACTGCACCCAAATGTTGATCATACTCCTGAGTAATTTGCCCAGTGTTTACATCCCATTGAACAATCTTCTTATCACTCATACCTGCTAAAAGAATATTTTGCTTATCATCATCCGGATTCAACTTAACCACATACGGTATCTTCCCTGTCGAAAACGTTGATATCACCTGCCCTGTTTCAGTATCCCAATACTTGATATTCTTGTCATACCCAGCAGTCAAAAATTTAGATCCATCATTACAAAAGGATATATCACGAACCGCCTTAGAGTGCCCCATATAAGTCCTCATACACTTGCCCGAATTGAATACGTCCCATATCTTCACCTTGCTATCCATCCCAGCTGACAAAATCAAGTGACCATGCTTAGGGAAGAACCGAATAGCTGAAACACCCTTCGTGTGACCACTCCAGGTATGCACCAATCTCTTTGGTATATAACAATGATCATTCGAGGCTTTGGCATCTTTAGGAGGTGCAATCCAAGACCTACCTTGATAATCCTTCTCCTCTTTCCCATGAAACGTGCTCTTATCTGACATAGCCTCACCCTTGTCTTTATTCCCATCTCTCTCCTCACCTTTCTTTTTGGCATAATCCTCGGCGTACTTCTTTTGTTCTTCACTCAATTCACCCTGCAACCCTTCTTTCTTTCCAGCCCATGGACTCTTCCTGTTCCTCAGCAGCCAAGAATCACTCGCCGGATTTTGAACCTCTACCTCATCCACCTCCTCCGCGTCACCCTCCTCCTTCTCCAAAGCTTCCTTCTTCTTCTCAAGCTTCCTCTTTTTCTGCTCATGTTGTGGTATATTATACACCGAAATCGCATCGTTTCGCTTCAAAGCATCCAAATCCCCAACATAATTATACCCAGCCGAGGCAGAGGGATCAGCAGCATAACCGTATTTATAAAAAGTATTATACTGTTCGTCAAAGACAAAGGGCTCAATCGCAGCATTTTCTACAAACCCTAGTTTGTGATTACGCATACCTTGAGCAATGCCATCTTTTGCATAAGGATGTGCGGGGCCTTGGATTGGTGCCCAGAGCTGATCGTAGGTCGGGTTGAAGGAAACCACGTGTTGCGTGGGGTCGAGGGGTTTGGTTAGAGATTTGTTGGCGATGGCCTCAGCAACGGTGAGGGAAAGCATGGTGTCGTCGACTTTTGGAGCGGCAGATTTCGGTGCTATAGATAGACGTGGAGGGGATGAGTCCGGTGATGAGTCATCGGACATCCGTTGATCCTCGCCGTCGTCGGCGTTCTTGTCTTTGTATGCCTGCAATAGATCCATGAAAGACGAAGAAGAATAGAAGAAACCCTAGAATTTAAATCTGAGATAAATCTCCAAAGCCGAACAGCCAACACCCTTCCTATGTTATATACTCGTTGGGACTTTTAGGATTCAAAGAGGTACAACCGATGATTGATAAAATAAAATATCATTTCCATATAAATATTATTTCCATATAACCTTTAACTAATTTATATTTTAATATATCATTTGATAAAAATTCTTAAAAATCATTTTTTTATGTATGAAGTACTGTTTATTAATGTATATTAACTAAATTCAATATTACAAGTATATTATGTGTAAGTATAATTTATTAAAGCTCTATTTTTGAATTCGTATAACTAATTATAGATAAATATAATTAAATACATGATAAACATCTCATTTTAATTATGATAATTATTGAATTCTAAACATTATCATTCTTATAAAAATTATCTATATCTATATTATATTATAAAGCATTTGACAAAAAAATTTAAAAACAATTTTTTATGCATGAAGTACTGTTTATTAATATATATTACTTAAATTTTAAGATTACAAGTAAGTAATATGCTAAGTAAAAATAATAGTGTTAAATTTTATCGATAAATCTTTATTGGATAAGTGTTTGATAAACAGTCCCTTGAAATCCTCTCTTAACTTGAATATTAATCAAATGCAATCTAATTTCCTTCGTTTTGGTAACAAATCGAGCACTCAAAACAAATCTAATTTCCTTCATTTTGGTAACAAATCGAGCACTCAAAAACAATATTTTCTTCCCCGAATTCAAATACAATAGTTTTGCCTTTTGGCAAAATAGGTCCTCCTAGTTAATAAATGAGCATCCAAACTTTGGTCCCTAATAATATTTAAGGGTCGTGTACTAAATGCTTACTTGGTAAGTGCTTACCGGATAAATTTCCTTATTAGAAGAGCATGACAAAGGCCAAGAATCTTACCGGGTAAGAACGATGAGAATGATGGAGAGTCTTACCCTGTAAGTGAAGATGACGACTCTTTCTCAGGTAAGTGTTTACCTCGTAAATTGTTGCATTCGATACATTTTGATATACTAAAATCTTACGCATCAAAATAAATTATAGTGTTGCTCGTATCGGTAAACACTTACCGAGTAAGCATTTGGGTAAACAGACATTTAGTGTCCATTGAACTTATCATGTCTAACATAACATTCTTACTTAAATATTTTTTTATACCAACTTCATATTTTTTTACAATTTACTTCAATCATATTTTCAATTATTTTGTGTTGTTACACATTTGAATCACCACAATGTATTGAATAAGTTTATACAATAAAATCTAATTTTCATATTTGAATTGGTTTAGATTAATTATTGAAGAACAAACAAGAACTCCAAATAAGTCCATATACGCCCAAACAATTATCAATTAATTACGTTCAGAAGAAAATATGTAAAAAGTAATTGGTTGTTCATTTTATAGTATTGTTATTGTTTCTCTAAGTTTTTTTTATCTGTTACTAAAGTCTAAAACTACTTTGACTAAAAAAAATGATATATTCTCTATCATTCATCTCCCACGGACTCTTTTGATTATTTCATTCGCATGAAATCTATGTTTGTATTAGAGCATATACATGCAAGGTTCTTTTTAGCAAAACTTGAAGCGCTTGTAGGAGTTATAATTGTGGAGACTTCTTATAAGAACCTTATGCTCTTTAGGTTCTTACCTAAAGTTTTTGACAGGTGGCATTTTCCTAGTCTTTTATTCTATCTTTTTTATTTTATAATTATTATTGATGTTGAAAAAATCAATGACACCCACAAAAAGGAGGTTATTATGAGGACTACAATGTGCACTTTTAAGAGAGTTCTTAATTTGATAAGTTGGAGATGAGGGACATCAAAAAGTGCAAAAAGGACCTTTGTTGGAGATGCTCTTGAATATATAGATTCTTGTTATTAAGAGAGCATCTTCAATTGAGATTCCTATGAGAACCTTATTTTTATACTTTTTTTGTTGCCAACTCATCAAATCAAGAACTTTCTTAAAAAGTCCACAATGGTAGTTCTTAGAGCATCCACTGTCATAGACCTCTTTAGAGGTTCATAACTCGTCATATCAATTTTCTCTTTCCTACACATTTTATAAATTTTTCACTTCCAATCATAAACCGGTTCTTGGTTTATATAATAAAAAATTACAATAATAAAATTAAACAAATAAAAATTATTTATTATAATTAAAAGATAATAATTAAATATTATAATAAGTTAAAATATCAATAATTTAAAATTAAGAATAATTAAATTACGATGAGTTAAGATAACAATAATTTAAAATTGCAATAAGCTTAAATAACAATAAAATTTAATTTTTTTTAATAATTATAGGTAATCAAATACAACTTTTTTTATAATTTTTAACTGTTTTTCTGATTAAGATTAATTAATTTAATAAATAAAAAACTAAAAATATAAATTTCTAATATTTTTATTATTATCTAACGAGTGGACCCCACTAATCCAAGGAAAGAAGCGGTCCTCTCATAGGAACTGCTTCGTCCTATGTAGGGATGGTGATTTGTCCCGACCCGGTGGGAAACCCGGTTCACCCAACCTGAATGGGGATGGGGATTCCCCGCTAAAACGGGACCCGGGGATCCCCGATAGACACAAATCGGGGACGGGGGATATTACTCAAACCAAGGACGGGGTCAGGACCAGGGATCCCCGGTATAATCAAACTAAATGATACTATTTACGGGGATTGTTAGAGATTTGATCGGGGACAAGATAATAATCCCCGTACCCGTCGGGAACCGGGGCCGGGGGACGTTCCTATAAACCGGGGCCAGGGCCGGGGATTACAAAACTCGCCCCATTGCCATGCCTAATCCTATGTGACCATAAACGTCTACTCTTCAATGGCATGGACTTCCAAATTTGGTCCATAAACTTTCCATGTCATAGCATGAACCCATTGTTCGAGATGCTCTTGTAGGAACATATTTTTGTGGGTCCCATTAATTCTTTCAACATTAATAATTATTATAATAATATATATTAATAAGTATAAAGTCAAGAAACTAAAATAAAAAATAAAGAAAATATTATTTCTCGCAAACTTCATGGTAAAAATCAAAATTCTTGTTCAAACATCTAGAGGGTATAAGGTTCTTATAAGAACCTCTCCATAATGTTAGTTCTTATAAACCACTACGTTTTTTTGTTAATAAGAACTTTGCATTGGATATGCTTTAAGAAAACCCTTATTTTTTGAAAAAATTATCAACCATACAACACGATCCAACTTATATCTATATTTAGGATTTCAAAGCTACTCTTGTTTTTTCATACATTATTAACCTTCAAGCTATAAACAATATGTGCTTTTGACCATAAGATTGATGGTTTACAAAAAGTTTGTTTTGACCCTAAAAGTTTAAAATGATGATAAAAATATTGACAAGTTGTGACATGGAAACCCAATTGCTTTACATTGACTTACATAAAGTGTTATTCTAAATAATCAACATTGCGACCCTAAATGATGTCAATCTATATATTAAAAGGAAAATTGCACCAAAATGGAACCAACTTTCACATGATTCCTATTTTGGGGAACGAACTTTCAAAATCGTCATTTTGGGGAACCAACTTTCACCTGATTCCTATTTTGGGGAGCCAACTTTCAAAATCGTCATTTTGGGGAACCAACTTGCATCTAATTCCTATTTTGGGGAACAAACTTGCAAAATAATTATAGAAAAATGGGAAAATTACACCAAAATGGAACAAACTTTCATCTGATTCCTATTTTGGAGAATCAACTTTTAAAATCGTCATTTAGAGGTCTCTATCGAACTTTTTGTTTATTTAAGGATCTGATTGATCTGTTGAACATGTAACAGATAATTTAAGGGTCTCTATCAAACTTTTGGTTGGATTTGCCAAATTTGATTTAAACTTTAATATCGACACAAATTGGTTAGATATAAAAATCTTGAATGTGATATTTAATATTTATTTTTTATTGCATCAATTAATTTTTTTCTATTAAATTGATTTTTTTATTGCATTAGTAAAAAACAATTTTTATCGTGGTAATTTGGATTTTTTTCGAAAAATCTTCAATTTGATATCTGAATTTAAAAAAACGAGATTTGAAATGAAAAATAGATTTTATTGCATTAATTTTTGAAAAGAAATGAATTTTAGTTATTTTTCTATAATTATTTTGCAAGTTGGTTTCCCAAAATAGGAATCAGATGCAAGTTGGTTCCCCAAAATGACGATTTTGAAAGTTGGTTCCCCAAAATAGRAATCAAGTGAAAGTTGGTTCCCAAAAATGACGATTTTGAAAGTTGATTCCCCAAAATAGGAATCAGGTGAAAGTTGGTTCCATTTTAGTGCAATTTTTCCTATATTAAAAGGTATATCATAGAATGTGTTTGCCGCTGAAACCGATTTACGATCTATGTAAAAATGATGTGGTATATAATATTAATTTATAAATAATTATTGATTGATTTTGTATCTTAGAATACTCGGAAAACAGTTTATATGAATCACTTGTATTTTTGAATTTAATGTTATTTATGATGATAACAATATATCAAAATTTTTTCTTACTTATTGAGTGCCCCTTTTTACATCTMGCTCAAGTCCTATGAAATATCAAAAACGGATCTAGACTGACATTCGGTAAACACTTACCCAACAAATATTTGGTGAACAACTCCTAAATTTTATATAATAAACCTTTTATACATAGTTTTAGAGTTGTGTTTATACGTACTTTAGTTTTGAAGCTGAAGTGTATTATACATGGTCGTTCCTGGGGGAGGGCGGGTTGGGTGTTTATGGACCCAAATTTTTTTAGTATATATAATAGTAGTTCAAAAAAATTAGTAAATAAAAGAGACATAAAAAATAATAGGACCAGAAAAGATCTTGGTACTACTTTAACTATTAAAGACCCAAACATGTATGAATTAAATATATTGGAGAAAAAAAATACATAAAAAGGTTAATTTGTCGTTCATTATATAATATTATTTA